CATGGTCTAGAGTGCATATAGATTATGCTGGGCCCTTTCAGGGGCAATTCTTCCTGGTTGTTGTTGATAGCCATTCCAAGTGGCTAGAGTTTGTTCCTGTTTTCTCCACTACTACTGCCAGGACCATCCAGGTGTTGAGAGGAATTTTTGCATCACACGGTCTTCCAGATGTTCTGGTTTCAGATAATGGCCCTCAATTTACCTCTTCTGAGTTCCAGGCTTTTCTTCAGGCCAACCTGATCCGTCATGCAACATCAGCTCCCCTCCACCATCCTCCAATGGACTGGCAGAGAGAATGGTGCGCACCACCAAAGATGCCCTCAAGAAACTGACTTACGGTAACTGGCATCAGAGGTTAGCAGATTGCCTTCTTGCAAACCGCACCACACTATGCACTGCCACAGGGAAGAGCCCTGCTGAACTCCACTGGGGTCACCGCCTCATCACTAAACTGGACAGATTGCACCCTGACCGGGTGGCTTCACAAGTGTCACAACCATGGGCACCTAGGAGACTCCAAGTGGGCGATCTGGTCTGGGCACGAAACTATGGGTCTGGTCATCTCTGGGTCACGGCTGTGGTCTGCAAGGTCTCTGGGCCGTTATCATACGAAGTTGTCTTGGGAGACGGCTGCGTTCTTCGCAGACACATAGACCAACTGCGTTGGAGACTGGACTCACCCTTCCGCTCCTGGCTCTGCTCTGGGGGGGGGGGGAGGAGGATCATAACATGCATTCTGAGGCTCAGTTTCACAGGCCATCACTAGCCACAACTGAGGCTATTTAGGATTCATCCCAAGTTTCCGCAAGTGCTCCTAACAGGAATTCACCGGATAGGGGGTCATCCCACACATCCGTAATTACTCCAGACAGGGAGTCACACCGGGGGTATCCACAGTATTCATATATGTCAGATAGTGCTTCAGACAGGGAGACTGACCGAGAGTATCCACACAAATCACATGCAGCAAGAGAAAAAGAATTCCAGCAGGGGCGCTTGCCAAATTCCGCAATTGGTCCCAAAAGGAGGTCAACAAGGGGGGTTGCCATGGAGGCGACTCCTGACTCTGGCACCTTGGGCACGTGCTTGGGGGCCACACAGTACTGGGGCACTTCCACTACTCAGCACTCTCCATCTGCTGGCCTTGGGTTCGAGGGACAGTGTTCCCAAGAAGGGTCCATTGTGGACTCAGGGACTTCTACCCCTCCAAAGTATGCTGGCTTGGACTTAGAGGGTCCAGCCAGCCAGCAGATGGGTGGGTCAACCGGGTATGTAGGGCAGAAAAATCCTGGCTTGCCTAGCCTGGTAGGTGAGCAGGTAGGCCAGGCATCCTCACCGGGGTCACCTGAGAATTTAGGGCAGCAATGCCCTGGCCTGCGTAGCCTGGTAGGCGAGCAGGTGGGCCAGGCAATCTCTACTGGCCTTAGAAGGTTGCAGCGGGCCAAGTGCCCACCCAAACATCTTAGAGAATTTGTGGAGTTGCTGTCAAGTCAATAAGGGTTCTTTTCATGAGACCCTGATTTGCGGGGGCAAATCGTGGAAAGATTATTGTATTATTTTTTGATTTCGGTAGCATTCATTGTATTACAAAAAAATTGAAGGGGGTTTGTCTGGGGGCAGACTCGAGTATTCCACACTCCTTGCATTTGATTAATGGAACTATATGACCCTCTTCCAAAGTAGGTATACAAGGGAGTGAGCATAGTATGTTCCATCTAGGGGGGAAGGGTGTTATGTCCTGAGCCTGCAAAAGCAGGCTCGGGAAGTTGCAATGGTCCCGGGCGTTCCAAAAGCTGCCCGGGACCAGACAGAGTGGCGCCAGTCTTGTGCGCATGCGCAAGGTGGTTGCAGCCCGGGACCAGACAGAGCGGCGCCGGCCTTGTGCGCATGCGCAAGTCGCAAAAATGCTCTGTTACTGTTGCTTGTCATTGTATGGGTTCTGGCCATGAAAAGGGGCCTGCGAGCTGTTAAATTTTGCCATGTTTATTCATCATTTGCAAGCGAACGGAGTACTTAACAGTTACTATAAACCAATGATTAGCTATTTGGAGATACATTGGAGAAGCTTTGTGATGCCTAAGGCTTCCTTCCAGAGACACTCCAGTGTGCCCTTTTGCTTCTCCCCCACATTTTCCTCAACCAACACTGTAGTTTATAAAGCGTGGGCTACTTGTGTGTCCCATGTGTCCATGACAGCCATAAGAATGCCTGTGGCTATTCCTTACAGGATCTGCAAAGTAAGAGTACCAGAATGGACAGAAGCACCAATTGTCCAATCCTATCACCAATCATCACTGAATGAACAGTAGCAATTAGTTATTCCAGGCAGCCTTTCTCCCAAATCTCCTCAGAGATCCCCTGGAAGATTACAGCGTATTAAGTTGAGCTACTCTCATCTTCCCTTATTATGTCAAGTATCCTCCTTATAGGTAAATGGACCCACCAACCAAACAAGAGAGGTGGCACAGTCTTCACATCATTGCCCATGACATCTCCTTTAAGAATCAGTCAGATAGGGAAAAGGTAGAGCTATCTCTAGACAATGAATATGAACAACAGCCAGTTCTAAATCCATCTGAAAGCTCTGAAAGTCAGAGTTCCTGAAACATGTCAGAAAAATCTGCAATACTAATAGAGTGTCAGGGAGACGATCTTGAAAGAAATAGGCAAGAACTGTTACATAAACAAAGAGAGCTCAAACATTCCTTTAGACCTAGGAAACAAGATAATATTTGGAACAGAGTCAACCAGGCTCCTCCCTGATTCACTGGGATATAATAAGGAGGAGAGGTAGAACAAAATGAGGTTTGCAAGATTCTGTTAATATAGGCAATTTCAATAAAGTACTGTGTAACTCTAATCTTCCTGTGTAGTTGGCTTTCTCATCAACTCTATCTTCTTATAAGCCTCAAGGAAGCAAAATTATTTCCCCTTTGGACCTGCTAATAGATTAATTGACAGCAGAGATATTCTTTGGCCAGTCATTCTACCTTGTATCTCTCTTTCCCTGATGTATTCAACAAAGTCCCAGAGGAAAGGCAGGCTGGATGCTGGTGGAGAGAACTCAAAAAGTGTGGATGTGGACTCTTTGTGGGTTGCTTTCCCTCAAACATTGTCATCTCAAAACCTAACCTAGTTATGTCCCTATGGTAGCAACATGGAAAATAAGAATGGGGAAGATACATCCAAGCACCAAGAAGACACGGAAATAGAGATCCTCCAATATAGGGCCTATAAGGCCACAGCCATAGCCACTAGGACTATCCTTGCCATTTCAGTTTTTAGAGCTTCTATTCCATGGACTAATCAACTCATCTTCTTATGTAAAGAACTCATATAGCCTGGGTTTCTGCTTTCATATTAAATATTAGGCTGGTCAGCATCCAATTCTCAGCCAAAGATATGGAAGCCTCGGAGTCTGTTATAGCTAAACAACTGAACATACCTCCAAATCCAAGTTGATCCTAATATCTGACCCATTCAAAGGGGACAAGCTGTTCAGAGAGCCCTTAGATTAGGTCCTCATAGAAATAAAAAACAAAAAGAAAGCCCTGTCAGCACAATTGGCAACAGGTACATACAGTAAATATCATATAAAATGGATATTGTATCCAAGAAAAAATATGAAGGCAAGGGAAGCAGAACTGTCAGTCACCTATTGTATTTAAAGCAAACTCTGGGACATCATTTGACTGTCCCAAAGCAAAACAGACCCAGCCTCAAACTCATACTTGAGGAAATATTTTCTCCCATAAAAGGTGGAGGGTGTAAACAATAACATCTCACCTTCCATGTAAACATGAAGCTAATGCATTTCATAGACCCATAGACGAAACATTAGACAGATAAGTCTTAAATTTCACATGGTTATATTACAGCATTTAACAATATCAGTCATGACTGCTGTTGGAATGGGAGCATATACATGATTGAATTACAGCAATAGGCTTTACATGGACTGTCCTTGAAGAGCATTCTAGAACAGGGGTCCCCAACCCCCAGTCTATGGACCGGCATTGGTCCGTGGCATGCCAGCAACCGGTCCGCATAAACAAGCAAAACCCCATCTGCGGGATGCTGGCAACATGCAAAACCATACCCCCTCTGGTTGAAGGAAAACCTTTCGCCATGGAACTGATCCCTGGTGCCCAAAAGGTTGGGGGCCACTGTTCTAGAAGACAGTAGTCTTCTACTGAAGACTAGAAGACAGTAGTCTTCTATTGAAGACTAGAAGACAGTAGTCTTCTACCGAAGACTAGAAGACAGTAGTCTTCTACTGAAGACTAGAAGACCTACTGTCTTCTACTGAAGACTAGAAGACAGTAGTTCAAATGAGTACTTGTGGCTTGGGAGACACACAAATTCACTGGATCCCTTCTGCAGGGACTGAGGAAATGTTCCTTTTTAGTTGCAGCCATTCCTTGGGAATTACTAGGCTCCCGTTACTGGAATGACCTCTTTCCTCCTGGCTTTGAGAGTTTGGTTATCTCATCAGACCATGGGCTAGAATGTTAAGACTGCTCCCTCCAGTGATGAAGAATGTTTGAACTTGCAGTGGAGGGGAAACTGATGCTTACAGTATTCCTATTTTTTTCCTTTCACATTTTCCTTATTATATTAGTAGTGTAGCAGTATATTTATTATATACAGTAATATACCCTATATCCCATATATTCTGCAACGGTATTAACAGTATGGTATATTAGTGTAATCTAAAAATTAATTGCAACAAATCTTTTTCCAATTTTAGGCAACATTTTAGATTGTCTCTGACATTTTAAACTATTGTATAGTGAGGAAGGATTTGCTCCCTTCTGTATTCCTCTCCAACAATTCTCTTTCTCAGCATCTTCTGCCCTGATGTTCCCCACTGATCAACAACCTTAATGCAGAACATTCATCTGACAATTCCATGGCTGCTAAGCAGATACCAGTTCTCTTATTTAATATTTTTGTTTTGGGTTTTGTGGCTTTCGCCAAACCAATATTTGATGATATACCTTTTTTACCCTCATCCGACAGCATGGAGTTTAGAAGACAGATAAGCAGGCCGTTCTGTCCTGTGTCCTTAAGAGGCCGGGAAAAATAAGAGAAAGTTTAATTATTACGGGAAATAGGACACCACAACAATTTTACCAGACAATGGTTTTATTTTAGCAGGAGTCTGCTTTTAAAAAGTGATTCTAAGGACAGAATTTGAGGTTCTTGAATTTGAGGTTTACAAAATAAGTGGCAAGAATTTTTTATGTTTCCAAAAACTGTAAGTATACTATCAACATAAACTAAGCTATTATATTTTCTATAAGGAAGAAAAGAAAAAGAAAGAATAAAAAATTCAAACCATACGTATGTATATCAGCTTACTTTCTGAATCTAAAAATATAAAGTGTCCTGGATTATAACTCCAAATATTCCCATCTAGTAGCAGCATCTGTGGGCACACTGGTGTTTATTACCTAGTGCTTCATAATCCATTATAAAATACATGGAAAATTGCAAATGACTTTGTAAAGTGGGGACATCCATTAATCAACCCATTCAGTTAATACATTACTGTCATATCAAAACTATGGCGCTTCAAAAACAAAAAAAGGTTAATGCTGAGGTAATATATACCTGTAGATTTTCACTATTATTCTGTTTTTTCTATAACAGCTGGATTTTCTGGAGTCTGGAGAAGAAGAAAACACAATAATAGAACTAGGAAAATTACAGGAGAACAACAATTTAATTATAACATTTGTGGATTTCCCATTTAAGAAATAACATAAACATCTACAATAAAAGCACTTTAGTCCAGTGGTTGTCTTACCCAGATGGCAGATTACTAAAACTTGGCTTTGTTTAAAAGATGCAAAGGTAAACATGTTTGAATTCAGTTCTGCAAAACATCATTCCACACCATGCATAACTGGCTCATGATACAGCTGAACTAGGCAAACTATCCAACTTTAACAATCTCTTCAAATCTCTTATCCTCAAACTCTTGCCATTTTAAAACTATTGTACCTTTCTCCAGCCTTTTGTCTTCTGCAAAGAGAGATTCAGCCGTATCCTATGTAGTCCTTAGAGACTAGGAGAAAGCTAGGCTGTCAAGCAACCAACAATAACCCACAACTTGTCCAGATCGAAAAAGTGGTGTCATAAAGGCTAGAAGTTTACTTCATTTAGTTTAGGCTTCAGCCATCTGACAAAATGTCCCTCCATTTACAAGGCATTGATAAAGTGCCTCTATTTCTGAAGATTCCAGTTCTTCCATTATAATAAAGAAAAACCAGGAATGGGACACCTCACACGGAAATTAATTTTGCCAGAGCAAAGTTTTCTTCTATTCCAGATTTTTCATATCATGGACTCTCTTTTCAGACCGAGCTCATAGACACTCACCCATCCAGGCTCCAAGTCACAATTACAGTCCCTATGGCAACTGTGGTACCTGGTGAATTTGTACACACACAGGTTACATAACATTCAACACACTTTTTCTCCAAGGTTTGTCTCTTAAGTGAATGAATTCACACCCACCCACCCACCCCATCTTTTACTATAGAAATTCTCTGCCATGTAGGATATTCCTTTTTGGCTTAACTCCCATATTTTATTTTATCAATGGAGACATCTAGGTTATTAATTATAATTAGGACTTCCAAAATGATACAGTAATAATTCTTAATTTAGGTACTCTGTTTATAATCTCAATCTGAAAATTTTTGTCCTGTCATAGAAGAGCCACAAATGAAATCTTTATCAGGGTAATTATAGAATTCAGAATTTAGATCTAAGTTATATCTTTCCAAGGGAACTCAATAAGTTGAGGATGTTTTTTAATAGGGTATCAGTCAGTAATCTTTGTAATCTTATTCCAGTTTCTCAGCAGCATGTTTAGGCTTGAAGCAAAATGGAAACTACAGTGGCGACTCCAACTTTAAGAAAGTGCATGCTATCCAGTCCTTCAGTCTTAGTGTTCCATATATTCCCTATGCACATTTCAGGGAACTTTTGTTTCCAGGAATTTGGGAATCATTCATTGCTGGTTTGTCCTAGAATGCTAGGTGGTATCTTATGCTTATAACATCCACTAATAATTAACACGTATTTAGTCATAAATTAAAACTGGTTTTATTATAATAAATTATCTTGTGATTAAGCCTAGTGTGCTGCTTGAAGCTGATCATGGATTAAATGTTATTGAAGTGAGAGTGCCTTAATCATTGTTTGAAATTATAGTTTGCTATAGATCTACTCATCGAAACCATAGCCTAATGTATTATACAAAGCCAGGAAAACGAGTTAATATGTGGTTAACTTCTTTCCAAATGAAATTGTCCCAGTTACATAGTCCCTTATAGCCATAACATCCATAAAGCATGCAGAGAATGAAACCTACCCCATCTGGATAGAAGTTGTCTGCAAAAATAGAGCATGGTAGGTGATGATATGAAAGGAACTCAGGAAAGGAAGTATTAATTGAGAGGGCAAATTCTGTTAAAGAAATAGCTGTGACATAGGCTGGCTAGGGATGTAAAGAGAAGGAGTGATCTGTGCCTTCTGACATTCCTCAAACAGACTTCTGGTCACACCCAAAATACATCTGTTCTTTATACCAAGATATAAAACATTGCTGCATGTTTTTAAAATGTGAAGGTAACATATGATAAGGTTAGCTTAAGAAGCAGAGGTCGCTTTGGTTCCTATTTACAAAAAAAGTACATTAAGACTGCTTAATTTATGAGCTGGAGATGGAATGAGGATAATACTGTGTGGCCAAAGGCGAAAGGTAGAATTGTCAGGGATATGACCCACAAGTAGAGAAAGGGTTACATCCTTAGTGTTCCATATCAATAAGAATGTTTGGGGCTTTCCAAAGGATTTGCTCAAGCCAAGAGGGTAAATATATTAGAAAATATTTATTTAGCAAAATGTCACAATTTCAGAATAAACTGGTGATGATATTATATTCCACCCAACATAGTTTTTAAAACTGATCCTTGTTTAAAGGAATATTGAAGGACTTGGCCAAAACATGTAAGTTGGTAGGTGCAGCTGAAGCCAGAACCTCTTACTCTGAGTTGTCACCTTTGGTGCCATAGGGGCAAAATATTTATATAATAAATAATTTTAAACCTATACAATAATTAAATTTCCAGTATCTTTAGCCTTCCAGACTGTGGCTATCTGCCCTTTGTCTTTTTTTTCCTTTTTGCCTTCAATAGGCAAAGATGATTAATTAGCTTAGTTACCATCAGGCTGTATATGAGCACCAAACAGAAATACCAGCCAGTCCAGCTTGCAGATCTTTTTGCTACAAGGCAGCAAAACCTTTCAGGCATGTTTGGCTTTAGTGCACCTTAGGGAAATCCCCAGATATTTTTTATTAAGCTGAAGAACATTAAAAACAAAATCCTTTTACTCTGCAGGTCTCAGTATCATCAAAATGTTTCCTTTTTAACTCATGGAATCTTTAATAAAGTGTTACAATGTCCTTTACTTAGCCAAGTCCTTCTGAGGGGCATGTCTTACATTTCCCATCTCTACATTTTGCTTTCCCTTTTCAATGGGGGTAATCGCTTTATAGTCAGTTCAGTCTGCATTCTGAGTCCTTAGGCTACTTTGGAGCATCCCATTGGTTTTTCTTCCTCCATATTTTTGTATATTTGCCAATCTTGGTGCTATTGTTTATTTATTGGATGTATTTGTTGCCTTTCCATCTAGCTAAAGGATTAAGATGGCTAACAAAAAAAATGAGTAATTAAAGTAGAATTAAATACATATATATCAAATACGTGTAACATTTTTTGAGAGTTGCAGGAATAGTTGATTCCACTATTACAGACTCCCAGGAAGATATATGCTTCTTCCTTTCCCTTCTTTCCAGTGGTGGGATTCAAATATGTGAACAACCGGTTCTCTGTATGGATGCCGGTTCCGGAAGTCCATTCTGGACCCGGGCAACAAAAAATTAGCTACCGGTTCTGCCAAACTGGTGCAAACTGGCTGAATCCCACCACTGCTTCTTTCCCTTAAAGATGGCTTTTATGCAATTCCAATCTGTTGATTAAAACCAAAAGAACTAAATACTACTAGGAAGAATCAGTTGTTAGGGAAAACATTCTAGTCTCAGGCATCATCATGTTATGCCTTTTTGTCATATCCAGAATTTCTGGTGTTTTAGAAACATGGTAAAAATTCCTTACTCACTTTGTTATAAACAAATTAGTCAAGACGCATTAATATTTTGCCGAGTAACCACTGAGGTTATAATAATGTAACTTTAAAACTATTGCCTATTGTTTAATTGTTTAACCTATTTTCTTTACAAATAAAATACATTCCTTATAGATTTTCTTACAAATAAAACGTTGTTTGCCATAGGTTTGCAAAGAAGGGACAGAGATTTGTCATTTTGCAGCAGCGTGAAAGCATTATTAGGCATTTATCTGGACATAGGCTGTAGATCCCAAATGAAGGCAATGAGAAACCACTTCCATATTGTTTTCAAGAAAATAGCATGGGTGTGTTTGTGTAGTTGTCAGAGGCTGAATTCAACATGAAGGAGATGTTATCTTTTTGAATAGGAATGAGTGTTTTGTCCCTTTTCCACCAGCCCATTAACCTGTACAAGTAGTCCTCGACTTATGATCACAATTAGAATCAGAATTTCCATTGCTAAGCAAGGTGGTTAAGTCAGTCATGCCCAATTTTACAATCTACCGTGCCACAATTGTTAAGTGAATTATAAAAAAATAACAGAATAACAGAATCAGAAGGGATCTTGGAGATCTTCTAGTCCAACCCCGTTTTTAGTTTTAGTTTTAAATCTCTTCTTAAAAGCCTCCAGTGTTGGAACATTCACAACTTCTGGAGGCAAGTTGTTCCACTGGTTAATTGTCCTAACTGTCAGGAAATTTCTCCTTGGTTCTAAGTTGATTCTCTCTTTGATTAGTTTCCATCCATTGCTTCTTGTCCTGCCCTCAGGTGCTTTGGAGAATAGCTTGACTCCCTCTTCTTTGTGACAATCCCTGAGATATTGGAAGACTGCTACTGTGTCACCCCTTGTCCTTCTCTTCATTAAACTCAGACATACCCAAATCCTGCAACCATTCCTCATATGTTTTAGGCGATTATGGCAGCCAAGTGAAACATGCAGTGTTTAAGCAAATCTAGCTTCCCCCATTTACTTGCTGGAAACTATTTGGGAACATTGTAAATGTCTATTACATGATCCTCAGTATGTTGCAACCAATACATACCCATTGCCAAATGCCCTAATTTTGATCATGTGAGTGTGGGGATGCTGCAATGGTCTTAAATGTGAGGACCATTTTAGGTCATTATTTTTAGCACCATTATAACTTCAGACAGTCACTAAACAAATGGCTGTAAGTCGAGGACAAACCTGTATACAATTTTGTGTACTTACAATATGAACTTTTGTATCTCCAGTGGCTACCAAGTAAACTTTAAAATGTAAAACCATTTTGTGGATTTGATATGTTTTATTGCACATGTTATTGCTTATATTTACCAAGTTATACTTTAATTTAGCTATTCTTGATATGGATAACATTACTTAGTTAGGAGGACAAGTGGCACACACAAACTAAATCAAATTTTGCAACCATTAGCCACAATATATCTCCCCAATTTTTTATTTAATTTTTTTTTTTTATGAGATGGTCTCTAGGTTATTTCAGTGTTCTCTCCATTTAGGAAAAGCATATTCAGCACACATTCAACGAGCAGAGAAATCTGTTTTTGCAATACATATCTGAGTGAGAGTGTGGATTTCTTGAATAGTCATCAGTTGTAGCACAGATGCATGTTATGCTTGGACAAGCAAGGTTGTGCAAGGCTTCAGGACGGCTTGTTTGTTGTTTCTCATAGGCAGGCAGGCAGGCAGGCAGTGGCAGCCACTGAGCAGGAAAGATTGCAGCAGCTCTCTGCCCCCATGTGGACCCAAAGATGTCAGCACAAACTGTTATGAAACAAGTTGCAGTAAGGATAGTTTAAGAAAAGATCCATGGGAAGATGAGATAGCAGTAATATTTCTATGGGCTTTATGTGTTTTTAAATAGAGCATGAAGACACAATGAGAGAATGTAGCTTCTCAGCATGTCTTCACTCCGTTAAAATAGCATCCATCCATTAATTGTTATGCAAACCATTTGTGAGCAGGGAGCTTG